CCGCAGACCCCTAGCCAGCCGGGACCCCCTTCGACTCCGGGCACGGCCGGCGACAAGGGCCAGAGCCAGCAGGGCTCGGGCCAGAGCCAGCAGCACATCGAGTGCGTGGTTTGCGGGGACAAGTCGAGCGGCAAACACTACGGCCAATTCACCTGCGAGGGCTGCAAAAGTTTCTTCAAGAGGAGCGTCCGCAGGAACTTAACGTACACATGTCGTGCCAACAGGAACTGTCCCATCGACCAGCACCACCGCAACCAGTGCCAGTACTGCCGCCTCAAGAAGTGCCTCAAAGTGGGCATGAGGCGGGAAGGTGAATATTTCTTCCCTATTCTACTCTCCCTCGCTCTGTAGCTCGGTGTGTGTTTGCAAGCCCTCCCCAGCTTTGCACCCAGGCTTTTGGTTGCACTCTTCCCTGCCCTGCTCACTGGGATGGGAATTTATTATGATGATCAGTCACTAAATATTTATTATTTCTCCGGGATCACTCGGATCTCTCTCTGTATGTGGATGTGGTTTTGTCTATTGTTGGCATGAGGCTGGGGGGACATCATTCTTTCCAAGATGGGTTTCCTTCTATTCCCCCTCCCTCCTTCCCTCCTTATGCACTCTTCCCTGCCCTGCTCACTGGGATGGGAATTTATTATGATGATCAGTCACTAAATATTTATTATTTCTCCGGGATCACTCGGATCTCTCTCTGTATGTGGATGTGGTTTTGTCTATTGTTGGCATGAGGCTGGGGGGACATCATTCTTTCCAAGATGGGTTTCCTTCTATTCCCCCTCCCTCCTTCCCTCCTTATGTACAATTTAAAAACCCACAACACTTCGCAGTAGATCCATTTCCACCATCATCTTTCCTGGGGGAGGAAGGGAGAGAAAGGAAGGGGGAGAAATATGCTACTGTATCTCAGGTTCCTTGTGCTTGCCAGTATGGTAGAGTCTGCTCCTTGCAAGATCTGGCCTTCTTTTCACTCCATGCTCTCAAAGGAAAGTTTCTGACTGAACCTTGTTTTTATAGTTCTGTCATTTTTTTAGCATGCTGTTCATTTTATTTTTCCATCAAACTCTACCCTCTGCTTAAATACTGCATACAAATTACAATTTACAACATATTTACCGGTCCTCCTGATTTTAGCATAATACATAGTCTGTTTCTGGCATGAGCTGTCCCCACCATTTCAAATGCTATTTTTTAGAGTTGTTCTTGATGTTTGCTTGTAATGTGTCTCATTTTTCGCTAGCAAGATTTGCTGCACTGTATTTTCTAAATATATATATATCAATTTACAGTTAAAGTTCATCTTGTGACTATCGTTAAAGATGTCTGATAGGCAAAGAAGCGAAACAGTCAATTTTGTGGCGTGGGGATTACTTGCTTCTTTAATTAGTTTTAAAATTATATTTTCTATGCCACAAGAAAAGAAAGTGAGTTCCTTCAGACCTGGGAAGAGCTCGCACGTATGACGACTTCATTTGTAGCTTCAGGGAGCTATTTGTAGGCGTATGGGAAAAAAAGCAAACTTAGAATTGTGCTTTCATTTAATTGAAAAATAACTGCCAAGTTCAAAACTATAATTAGGTGGAGGGGGGAGGGAAGAGTCCAGCCACTTAGATTTCAAGGGCTCAGTTGGAATTTCATCAATACTATTATAAATGATAAAGTTACGGAAATATTGCACGCTCTAAACTGGAAAGATAAATTATATATAGGGGTGTGTTATTAATATGCCACAGTGGTTGTATCTTCTCCTTGAATTACCTTTGTTGACATGGCATGCACTTTGGAACACTGGCGCTGATGAAGTAAAACATACACACACGGAAAAAAAACTTTGGTCAGCTTTAGGAACTCAAAGCATGCTTACGTTTTGTATTGAGATGGTTAATGAATCCAGTGTTTTTGCAGTTGCAAGCTTGTGCATTCACTGTGCAAAGCTGTCCACAGGCTTTTGCAGTGGCAACAGCGCAGCAAAGATATTAATTAAACCATCGCATTTTTTCACTAATGTTTGGCTACTGTAAGTTCAGACCCTTTTCCCCCCCTTTCGAATATTTAATCTTTCTCTTCCTTCTATCAGCGAGAACTTTGCTGGGCACGTATCGGATGCTTGCTCCGTGTAATAAAAAGTTAGAAGTGGTTAGCTGGGAGACTGTGACCTGATCCAGTGTTAAGTGGGTAGCATTTTTGAAGAATATGGACACGTTTATTTTAAAAAATCCCATTTGTTTGTAAATCTACCTGCTCCTCGGACAATGGACTGGGAAATAAGAAAGAGCTATGGTACCTATATTTTTACCAGATTTCTGGGATTTTTACCCCCAGACAGCACGTTAAGAATCCGGAGGATTTCTTTTGTGTTTTGCTGGTTTTATTTGCTGCAAGCGGGGGGAAGGGTAGATTGTCTCGTTGTCTTGGCTGGGATTTTGGTTTTGGTTTTGTTTTTTTACAATTTTTATTCTATTTTATTTTTGGCTGTGCTGGTGATGGGGCCGGGATGCCTGTGCAGGGGCTGAGGGTAAGGATGCAGCCTGTTCTGCATACACTGCTCCATGTGAATCTGCTGTCTCTAGCTCTCTCTGTACGTGCGCGTGTGTGTGTGTGTCTGTGGGAATAAGCCCTGCATTGTCTCCTGCTCGGCTGTACCGTGGTAAGCGATGTTTGCAAGCCTCCTGGATGCACATTTCCTCTCCTTTTCTCTTTCTTTTTGTCA